AAGCTCCTCCTGTACTTTCTCTGAAAACTTTCATAAACAATATAGTAATTAATTTGGATTAATGGTGTAATCACATGGTTTATTGAAATGTTGTTTAACACAGGAACTGGCAAAGCGACTCCTCTCTAGTGAAGTGTTACTAAATGATTTTTTAATGTAATTTACAGCTTTTGATGGTATATTTTTTTGTTATTAGAGACATTTAGGGCAGAGACAATTTGTTGTAAATTACTTTTAAGGCAAAAATGCCAAACATTCCCTAGTTCAATCTTCTCAATGTGAATATTTTTGAATATATTGGGGTTTTGGATGATTTGAAGACAACGCCTTGGACTTTAGGAAGTTGTGTTTGCCAGTATTTTCTGGCTTTACTGAACAATTAATAGAAAAAATAATCTACAAATTCATTGATAATGAAAGTAACCATTAGTCGTTGCTCTAGAAAATTAAAGTAATCAGTGAAAATTGTTGCAGCCTTTGTGCCCATGTCAGACATTTTGCACACTTTAACCTACACGTAGTGGTTTCAATTGCTCTATGTAATTGGTGAGATAATTATATCATATATAGAATATATATAACTAACTTCTGGAACTTTTGCAGGAAAACATCAGTTATCTGGCTGCCCGGTTGACCTAGAAATAATCCTAAATCTTAGTGGAAATTAGGCTTTTTATACCCAGGAAAGCTAAACCACGAACTAACTATTTGGGTGAATGATACAGAGGTTATGTCCACATGCTGTACGAAAGCTGTTTACACTGAAAACTATTACTTTCCATAGGAGGAAAGTATTCTCAGATTGTTAACTTTGAGTAAATTTAGGGACTGAAGTGGTAAAACTATCTTGTATTTAGGTAGCCCTGACTCTGGACCCCCCCCCCATGTTGGGAACCACTGATGTAGTATGTTTCACTATGTGTGTTTACAGTGCTGCCTGGACTTGAGCAGTCAGGTCCTGAAGCTGCAGGACTGCGGCGAGGAGCTGCCGTTCCTGAACCCCTCGACCGACAGCCAGTGCCAACACGACACCAACGAGAACCTGTGAGCCCGACTCGACGGCGGCGACCACTTCCTAAAATCTCCCACTGTTTGCGGGAACGTGGCGTGATGCCAAATGTGTCTGGACTGTCCGATCACAGTGTCTCACACTGCCAGAACATGGATGAGCATTCGCCACCGTCGTTCTTGAGTTTACATCATTGTGTTTGTAGAATTAAGACATTCACCATGATTATCTCTTATATTAAATTAGTCTAGTTCAGAGAGCGGATGAAAGCCAGTTATGAGCCAATCCGATCTGTGAGTTCAATCATTCTTTATGATTATACTGTATATTCAAACCAATTCCTCTGTTGAGCTGCTTGGGTACACTGACGCTCTCGTAAAAGGGAAAACCATTATAATCATTTAAAGTGAACTTTGGTGGAATATTTTGTGATTTGGCTGTACAAAAGTTACTTTAAATCATCAAGTAAATCAAGAAAATGTTAATTGTAAACTTAAATAATTTCACTTTAGACGGTGTTAAAGGAACAGTCTTAGATTTTGGGACATATGTTAGTTCATTTTCTTACCAAGTTATATGAAAAGACACCACACTCATGTCTGTACGGTAAATATGAAGCCAGCAGCTAGTCAGTTTAGCTTGGCATAAAGACTGGAACTGGGGAATCAGCTAACCTGGCTCTGTTCAAAGCTAACAAAATCCGCCTAGAGGCACCTCTAAAGCTCACTAATTAACATCTCTGTTTAATCCATACAAACACTCAAACGTAAAAACATCAAGTAGCTTGACTTTTTTCCATTTCAGTGTTTCCATGGATTAAACCTGTATCGAGTTCTTAATGTGTTAATTGAAATTGATTTTAAAATGCATGTTACTTAACACTTATAAAAAGAAAAGTTTTCACAATATTTCATATAGTGAGCTATTTCACTATATCTGTTACTTTCAGCCTACTATTTCAACAGTTTATCCATTAATTTCAACTGTTTGCTCTTTACTTTTAGCTAGCTATTTCAAGTGTTTATCCATTACTATCTAACTGAACGGCTAATCCATTACTTTTAGCTTTTTCCCCTTTTATCCATTAATTTTAGCTAACAATTTCAACGGTTTATCTAAATACTGTTAGCTATTTCACCATTTATCCATTAACTTTAGCTAACTTTTTCAACTGTAACATTTAGCTAACTGAACTGCTAATTCATCCATCTTTTTTTAACCAATTTTCATGCTTTAGCTATTTCACCATTTATCCATTAATTTGAACCATTTCAGCTGTTCAACTTGTTCAAGTATCTACTTATGTTTAGTTAACTATCACTGGAAGTAATTTCTGAGCTTTAGAGGTAGTGGGAGATGGTTATGAGGGTGGTATTGATCATTTTAACACTCTTATTAAGAATGTGAATAAGCGTATTTCACAAAATGTCAAAGTATTTCTTTAAAAATCAACATGACTCATCTAAAAAGTGTCGGTACTCAGGATGCCTTTTCCAGTGCGCTTTAAGGAAATTTTGAGAAGCCTTGAAGTTTTTTTGAAGACTTGTGTTAATTAAGTTTGGATCAGGCTACCTCTTTAAGGACGGGTTCTCATCTAGAATTTTAAGAGAGATCTGAGGTAAACACCACAGTTTCTGATGTAGTTTTATTCAGCTTTGTAAAGCCCCTCTGCTCTTTCTTCCCCCATCAGAGGACTGACGTGGTTAGGTTTTCCAGGAGCACATGACCAGTCTGTCACGACAGCCTAGACTCAATTACAGTAGTTCCCTATAAGTCCCTTCTAATAAAAATAGACTTCAGGCCAGCCAGCAAAACATATTTGAGTCAGACTACAGAAATATCAAGACATTCCATCTGCATGACTTTGTAAAGTTCTGCCTTTGTATAAGTCTGCATGTTTGTGTACTAGTCTGATTGTGTCACGTTGAAAGTCTGAAGGGGCTGTATGTGTGTGTGTGTGTTTACGTGTGCATGTGTGTGTGCGTTAGGAGTCGAAGCAGGGTTTTTCTGCCCTGTTTCGGCTTGTGTTTCACATGGGAAAAAGTGGAAAAAGTCCTATCTTTCCCCCAAACCGGTCCACCGAGCTCCGCTCAGAAAAAGCTGCCAAAAGCCGACCCCAGCTGCCTTCCCTCTCTGCCTCTTTCAGGAGATTTTCATCACTCGGCTGAGGCTGCACTCTGTGCCAAGGCCCCTCTTCAAACTCATCTTCCTCTTTATTCAGAGGACCGGTCTTCTTGTGTATTTACCACCTTTTTTGGCTGATGTTACTCACTTTGATGCATCATGTTTGCTGATTTGCCTCTCACAAGAGAATGAAAAGTAACTCCCCATTACAGTGCCACCTGCCTCTCTCATCTCTCAGTGTTTTCATAGTGTGGAGAATCAAGAACTGCCTCAGATCATGCTCTGCTTTAACAACACCTGAGCCGTGCCGTGCTTTTGACTGTGCTACAGTATCCATCTGACCTCTCCGTGGAGGTCATCCACGCGTAGTTTGGCAATGTTTGTTTCTCTTTGATGTACTAGTGACCTTCCTATGCTGTATGAGAGGAAATGATGTATGATAGAAATTTATTTTTGGTGTTTCTCTTCTTCTGAACAGTATTTTCTCTGCCTAATAAAATATGTATTCTGGCTAGCCCCGTTTGTATTCATAATTTTGATGTTAACTGACACACTGCGTGATGCGCCTATTTGGAAATGCGGAGCAACATTATGTGAAAGGGCAGTCGTTTAAAATCTCTAATCTCCGTCTGTCTGAATTATGTGAATCACCAGACTGGTTGTGGGAGGGCTCCACTAGAAGACAGCCAGAGCAGCCAGTTCCTAGTTTTATTGGACCTCACATTCATTCCCATGGTCTGTACTTGCAAAACACCCATGTACTGTATGTGCCCCTCACTGGTACATCTCTCGCTATATAAAGAACCTTGTCATGTCAGAACAGAGAAAGCAGATGTTCCCACAGCACCAGGGGGCTTCGACAGTTGACCCCCACCATCGAAGGTTCCCATCTCGCTGTATTGCCATTCTTCCATGACACAGATAGAAAGACAGTCCAAGTTTGTCCATCAGAGCAAGTCTCAAGGACTGTAGGGTCATGTCAAGTCTTAGGTCTTCCTAAACAAAGTAATAATGCCTAATAATTAAATATTCAAGCTAAACTTGTTCAACAATTAACCAACCAATAGATATTTAGATTAAAGGACCCGTAGACCAATAGGTCCTCCTAAATGTTACACAATGGACCTTTAAATTTAACGACTAATTGTTTTTCATTTATCAAACAAAAATCCAAACATTTGTTGGTTCCAACTTCTTCGTATTTGCTGCATTTCACCATTTTATATCATTTTTAATGGATTTCTTCTGGAGGTTTTTTTATTGTTGGTCGGACAAAACAAGCAATATCCCACTACTGGGATAGGCATTTAGTAAAATATTTTAGACGTAATGAATAATCAATCAACATAATACAATACATACAAATAATCAACTGATTAATTAATAATGAAAATGGTTTGTTGCAGCCCAAATTCATGCTGTTATACAATGCAAGGTACGCCTGTTGTTTATGTTTTATCTACAAATCTAATCTACCAGCTCCAAATGGGAGACTTGAAAGTTTCATGATTCATGACAAAAACCTGACTCAAGTCTCACTGAAGTCCAAGTCTTTTGTCCACCCCTATGCTGTATGCTATTACAGGTGCCATCGTGACAAGCTCACAAAAAAATATTAGATTGGAAAAGTAATGAGAGGCAATTGTGAACCTAGAGATATACAGCTGAAGAAATGTCACGACAAAAAGACAAAGTCCCCCACTGCCATTATTTTTTTGTTCAGGGACACATCTGCATTAGATTGGCATTTTAATTTAGGTTTGACACGGTTGTTTCCTCACAAAACTACATTCATCTTGTCAGAGCTGTCAGGCGATGCTATTTCCTGTTGCGCTCAGTGTGGCAGCTACCTGCACCGGTAAGCCAGGGAACACAGTGGAAGGAACATTATAGGAACATGAAATTACAACAAACATTGTTAGAGAAGATCTCCCTCAATACGCCCCCTCTCTTGTTTTGAGTCAGTTTGCACACCACATCCTGTTAACACTGCGGCAGGTATCACCTCTGCTAGGAAAGTACCAATATACAAGTGTTCTTACAGAAAACCCACTGTGGTCGTATTTTTCCTCTCTTACTGGTGTCTACAAATGCATAGCAAGATGCTTTGTCTCAAAACCACACACTGATCACTCGAGACATCATGAATAAGAACAAGACAAAGGGTATGTGTTGACTGTTTGATCTTTAAGTTGAGCTTCAGGCAGCAGCCAATGCTTCATTCTGTCTGTGCAGTATGTGTTGCATAAAGCAACGTGTCTCACCCTCCCATACAGTATGCATGAGAAGGCTATTGTCATTTACAGGGCAGATCTCGACCAGAGATTGCAGTAGAGGCACAGCGATCTGCAGCAGAGAATGACTAATATAAATCTCCATCCAGAGGAGTAAAAGCACTCACAATAACACAGGTGATCTCCCCGGGGCTTTCAGTACCCCGAGGAATGAATTATCTGAGGCAGACTTACAGTATACTGCCAGTGTGCTTAACCACCCATTTGATTGTATTTGTGGATAATTACTGGTGAGCAATGTCAGATGGAGGACTAGAACGTGGAAATGTCGTCACAATAAAACAACTCAACATTGTAAGAGTCATTATTAAACAGATATTGCATCCATCCGTAGCTATCCTCTCAAGGTTGTACATTTAAAGAAGTCGGCTTGGTGTTATTTTATATTTTTCTTACTGTCATTAAATTCTGTGAAAAGACCAAAACCAACAACCCATATTTAATGAATTGGATTCTACTGTAAATCTTTAAAAACTGCTCACAAATATATAGTTTCTTTCTTTAAAAACAAGTGGTCACTGTAGTTTCTTACAAATGTTAAGTACACAGGAGTAAATACTGCATTAGTTAGGGACTATTATGGGATTTACTCATAATAAATCACAGTTTCTAAGAGTCTACAGTCATCCTAGCGGCACTGTGAGGCTGTAGAGCTAAATGTTAACATCAACATACTAACAATTATAATGCTAATATTCTGATGTTAACCAAGTGTAATGTTTACCATGCTCACCATCTTAGTTTAGTGTTTTAGCATGTTAATTTGCACAATCAACACAGTTGATACAGTACAGCTGAGGCTGATGAGAATGGCATAAGTTTTGAAAGTATTTGGTCATAAATACGATGATGGCGCTACATGAAAAGGACTATTTTTGCTCTACTTCATATGATTAGAAGCTGTGCAAGACTAGAGTGGGAAGAAAGACTTTGCCTTTGTCACAGACTTTGATATAAGCTGAGCCCACTCCTCAGTCCAGACCCTCATTAGAGCCAGTTTATTTACTCTGCCTGTCACCAGAAATAGCCTTCTGTCTGTTTTTGTCCTTCATCTCATCAATAGCATCTCCTCCCTCTTTGTAACACTCCCTCCATCTGGTAAAGGGTTGAACACACACACACTGATGCCCTGCAGGCTCGATTAACTCAGTGGGAATGACCCACAGGCCTTAACCCCAGAGAGTGAGGTAGGGATATGGTGAGGGGAATATTGATCAGACCAGGTCCTCTGTGGTGAGGCGGCTGTTATGTAACGCAGTGTCAGTGAGTGGGAGATCCTCCAGAGAGGGTTTGATACAAGACAGAAAATATTTAACACTCTGTCTCGAAAGAATCACATGGGAATTAACATGCAAATAGAGACACATTTATCATTTTGGGCTGTAGGGAATAGGGGCAGAAAAATACAAATGCCACATTCATGTCATATCTGGGTTACTGTAATTACTGCATAATTTTCTAAATTGTACATACCATTCAAATCAGAATCCAAGTCCTAATTACTACAGGGGAACTCACATTTCCTGAACGCAACAAAATATATCCAACCAGACACTAAATAATTTGGAAGTGGCTGAAAATATCAAACAAACGTATGAGCAGCCAAATTTTTGTTCAAGGTAATTAAATTCAGTGTTACTCACTAAAATGGATTGTGTGCACCCTGGAGGTCTAACTAAATGTGGTGAATGTGTTGCCTTTGCTGGCACATTAAAGCATATCTTGCCGTGTTACCTCCACCTGTAGATCGGTGAGAATGTGTGACACCATTGGCAGGAACATGTATTCCGTTGCCGGCATACAAAAAAAATATAGTTTGATCTGTAGATCCTTAAGAACATATGTTAAGAGGCCATGAACATGCATACAGTTAGCATGTGAACAGATAGATCAGACAACAGCTAACAGATCAGTTAATCAGACCTGTTGATGGACAGGCTAAACAAAATTTTAATTAAGCAAATTAGCGAACATGCAAACATTTTTAGCATATAAATCTTTTAGCATGCCAGCATTAACAGGCAGGCAGGAGATGTCAGAAATCTCCACAATAACCGAGACGGTATTCTTAAGCTCAACTAGCAACCAACCCAACTACAACTTCAAACACCTTCTTTCTGTGAGAGAAATATTCCTATTTTCCCTGCTGGAAAAAAATAATTCCTCTATCATAATTGATTCTGTATCTTCAAAAAGGCACAACAAAATAAATTCCACATGAAGAAAAATGATGTGGGATTAATTAAAACACCCTATTTCCATTCAGCCTTGCCCAGACTACTTTTCATATTTAATCTCAAAGTGACACAGAGAGTTAAAAAGAAGCATTAGCCAGTAACATCTGAGGCATACTGCTCCGATGATCAAAACATTGGTTATAATTTTAAACTGCATCCATAGAGTTTATTTTATAAAAACCAAACATGACATTGACAAACATCTGAATAATAAAGCAGCCAGTCAGACTGAAATCCTCTCTGCATCTGCTGATAAAACTACTGGCTATTAAAACTGCCTGTTGTGCTGTTCATCCTGCAGCTATCCCCCATCGAGCATGAGGGGATGATGAAACGCCACAGAATTAAGCCTGACGCTTGCAAAATTGGGTTCTGTTAATCAGTGGTGTCAGTTCCCTCAGTGGCTCGGAGCTGTTGATGGAACGTGATGGAGCTTCTGTCAAGCCCCTCACCCTTCTACTTTGGAGGCTGGGGGTCCAGCTGTCTGTCAGGATCAGATCCATATTTACCACACCCACATCCTACTGTGCCACCAAGACCAAGCACGGGCACTGGGCTAAACCTCAAATGGAGGATGCTCATGTAAACTGACAAGAAGGGTGTAGAAACATTTAGATTTCAATTTAGAGTATAATATAATGTTTTTATCTTATTTTAGTGTCATGCATACAAAGTACCCAACCCTCATGCGACACCGTACAGTGGTCAAACATTTTATTTTATTATACAATTATAGATTATTTTATGGCTCTTTCTTAAAATATTCTGCCTTCTCTCCAAAGCTTGGCAAATACAATTTTCTACAAAAACCCTCCCTGAAGCACAATTCAAGTTTTTCATAATCATCCAGCCAAAAGAAATCATCATAAATAATGTAATTCAATGTAGAAACATTGTAAAATATTACTTAAATATGACCATAATGAATTTGTGGTGGAAGAAGTACTCAGGGAGCAGTGGTTCCCAACGTTTTTTCC